CCATCTTAAGAAAAAGACCAAAGAAGTTTCATGGTGAAAATGACTTCACCTGCGATGCATTTAATTATAAATCATCCATCTAATAATAATAATAATAATAGTTATCCTATAATTCTAAGGGTAATTTATGAGTGTATATTGTATAAATATACATATTAACTCCTTGCCTCCTTGGGTAGAAATACATCCACTATTTACCTTTCACTTCACCATGTGCAACACGAAAAAGAGAGTTTGTGGGCATAACTCAACTGGGTGATAGATGTGTCATAAAGGGTAAGTCTCGAGTTCAAATCATGTCAACTCAATAAAAGATTATTGGGATAATGGTCCAAAAAGACACTAAGATTATTTACAAAGTTCGAACTGAACACTAATGTTTTAATAGGACCAAATAAACACATAAATCACTAATTTTAGCTACATTTAGCCACCGACTAACCTTTCTTTGACGGATGATCCTAACAACGGGCAAATTATACTGTGGGATCGGCCTACCATGCGCATGATGTGTCGATCACAATATGACACCATTTTTTAATTAAAAATGAAGAAGTCAAATATTTTTCTCTCATTTGACCAGCTTTTATTCTCCGTTTCTTCACTCCATTTTTTTCTCCACCACCGTTCTCACCCACAACTTCCTTCTCCCAGTTTTTTTATTCTTCCATTCGACCTTTCCCTTTCCTGCTTTCTCTTACGTTTTGTATTGCCACGCTTTTTGGCATATTTTAATAAAACAAGTGATTACATTTTTAAGTGTGCAATTTACATTCATACATGATTCTTGAAGTTATATGTAATACTACATGGAGTTACATCTTCCTATGCGGAACTTACATATTTTTATGCGCGAGTTACATGTAATTATGCGTGAGTTATATCTAATTATTTGTGATTTTTTACTTATCTTTATCTTGAACTAATTAAATTATAACTGAATTAATTTTTTTCTTTACCAATTTAATACAAAATTTTATTAATTCACCTAAAATAGTGGAGTATATTGTATTTCATATTCATACACTATTTAATTTCTTACTTTGTATATTGTTTTTATATTTATTATACACTTTTTTGAAAAATATTTTTTATATTCATATACTTTTTTCTATAATATATTTCTTATCTCTTTTATATGTTTTTTGTGTTTTATAGACATTAAGGTTGTTTATTTCGATTTAATTTTGAAAAAAAACATGAGAATAATACATTTTTTCGTATGTGTGAGTTATGTTTATATATAGACAATTTCTATAATTACATTTGATAATATATGGAGTTACATCTTCTTATGCACCATTTACATCTTCTTGTGCGTGAGTTACACCTTTTCATACGCGAGTTACGTTTGAGTTAACAAGTTACATTTTGCATACACTATAGTTAGATTTTCAATCAACGTGAGTTACATTTTTCGTAATATGAAATACATCACAACATAAAGCCTACTATTGAAACAAAAGAATCATTGTTATGAAAAATAATTCTTCCAAAAAAACATGTTTTTTGGCAAAAATATATATTTAAAAACATTTTTATGGACTTAATATTAAAAACAAAATATATTCACCATTTATGTTAACCCCTCCTATTGAATAAAAAAATACTTTTTTTGAAAAAACTAAATGAGTTTTTGGCCAAAAAATGATTTTTTTGGCAAAAAAAGATTGTTTTATTTCTTATAATTCGTATTAGACAAGTTACATTTCGACTTGCTTGATGTTACATTTCTTATTAGCGTGAGTTACATTTTGTTACACGCGAGTTACGCCTATTCCGCTACTGGGGCAATGAAAAAACAAAAAAGAAGTTACTGTTCACGCGCGTGAACAGTACACGTTTTTTTCGTGGGAGCAACCGCTAACAACTTTGACCACGGTATACCAACCGCTAACAAAAAAGAAGTTACTGCTCACCTTGGGCTGCTCCCACCGCAAATTATATGGTGCAACCGGCGCACCATGAGGATGGTGCGTCCGGTTGCAAAAACGACGTAGGATCAGATTTTTTTTTCTTCTTTTTTGCTTTTGTTGTTAAAAATGATAATAACTTTTTTATTTTTGATCCGATTTTTATAAAATTTATATCAACATTTTTTATTTTTCATGATCTTTCAAATGAGACCAATATTGTGTATGTAATTTTAAGAAATTATCGAACTATTATATTAATGAGTATTGGATTATAAGAAAAATCGAATCTGTTTGGGAGATGATAGGTTTGTGAAATAGAAGATCGAATCTGTTTGGTAGTGGATCAGTGGCCTCATTTACATTTGATAATACATTGAGTTACATCTTTTTATGAGCGAGTTACATCTTTTTATAAGCAAGTTACATCTTTTTATAAGCAAGTTACATCTTTTTATAAGCAAGTTACATCTTTTTAAAAGCGAGTTACATATATATAAACACGAGTTGCATTTGACATGCTTGAACGCGACTTACATGTATTTACACGTAAAGTTACATATTTTTACACGTAAAGTTACATATTTATACACGCGAGTTACATATTTATAAACACGAGTTGCATGTGACCTGTCTGAATGCGAGTTACATATTTTTTTACGTAAAGTTACATATTGTTACACGTAGAGATACATATTTATACACACGAGTTGCATTTGACTTGACTGAAGAGTTACATATTTTAACACTTAAAGTTACATATTTTACACACAAATGTTAATATGTTAAAATTACATAGACAATATTGGTCTCATTTGAAAGATCATGAAAAATAAAAAATGTTGATATAAATTTTATAAAAATCAGATCACAAATAAAAAAGTTATTACCATTTTTTAAAAACAAAAGGAAAAAAAAAAAAAAAAACCGTCCCGGTATACGGTGCTCACCGTATACCGGTTGCACGGTATACGCACTGCTCCCACGGTATACCAACCGCTAACAACTTTGACCATCCTTTATCCCTTCTGATTTAAAGCCACAAACCATATAAATACAATTCCAGATGATGCTCCAATACGCATTGAATCCTCGTATCTCCATTATCGTCCATTTTATGGTTCACAAATCCTTAGTCACCGGCGGCTTTGGTATTTCCAGAATGTGAACCCAATCCTTGCCGACGGCCATCACAACCGTTGGAGTATGAGGTGAATCCCGAACCAAGCTCATTGTCTCATTGACATCTTGTGCACAGGTTGAAAACACCTTTCACCGCTATTAGGTTCGGTGAATTTTGAAGTTTTGTTCAATTACTTTACTGCCCGCTGGAAGTGAAGAAACTTCTCCACAGCCGGTGGATTTGTAGAACCGTTGCAGGTCGTAGCCGCTGGAGACAAAGAACTTCTCCTGTCTATCTTTGTATGTGAGGCCCCTCTCGGCACTATTCTAATCTGTACGTCGCTGAAATTCTTGGTCACAAAAGAAGCTAGATTTATGTCATCTGTACCGGTGAGCCTTATTTGACGGACCGAACTTTTGCTTACCCTGAATTTCACTACATCCGTCGACGGTTTTGAAACTACCGGCGAAGTAAAGAACGAGTAACACCGCGACCATAAGAATAATCACAACCAAGAAAATCAAGAAACGTAACTAGCTTAGCAGGAGTTATTTTGTGCAATTTTCTCCTCTTGCTCATCTTCTACTCCGTATTTTTTTGCTTCTTTAGTGTATTAACAATCTATTCTCACAATCTCACGCGTTTGGGATGAAGGAATTCAAAGAGAAGCGTGTGTGGTTGAGAAGTATAACAAAATGTGGCACGTGCTATTGTATAGTACATAGACTAGGGGTGGGCGTGGTTGGTTAACCGTGTTTTGGTTAACCAACTTTTCGGTTAACCGAGAAACCTAGTATCGGTTAACCAAAATTTCGGTTAACCACAAACCGGTTAACCAAAAACCTTTAATCAAACCATTGATTAAATATATACACACACCATGTTCTTTCTATATTAATCAAGTCCAAACAAGAGAAAAATAAATTTTGAGAGTGGAATACAGGAAAAAAATAAAATACACTTAATAAGAATAAACGTGTTCAATTGCTTCAAAAAAAGAATACACATGTTCAAGTCTCACGATTGCAGAATGAACTAATTAATTATAACTCACAAAAGCTTTGACTAATTATTAATAATATGAAATTCTATAGTGACAAACAGAATTTGGTTTCTTCACATGTTTATTAGAATTGATGTATCTAGATGTGTTGGATACATATTTATCTTTCCAAGTTCTCTGAGAACGTGAAGTTCATGACCAGACATGAACATACCGGTTATTGGTTAACCGATAATAACATATTTCTAAAATTGTAACCGTACCGCGAACCGTTTATTCTCACGGTTGGTTAACCGTACCGTGGATTTAAAAAATTGCAGTTCGGTTAACCAGGAAAAATGGCGGTTTTCCAGTTTTTAGGCGCGGTTATACAGTTACGGTTTTTTATGCTCAGCGCTAGTACATACTCCAATTGAATACTAACACTTTATATCTATAAATCGTCCTGTTTTTCAATAATTTATTTAACTAACTTTCAAATTTAATTTTAAGGTGCTTGCTATGGTACCCAACTAAAATATGAGGGTACCATACCTAGGATGCATTTCATTGGTCCAACTCAAAGTTTTACATTTTATTTGCATTTAAATTATTAAATTGAAAATTTTTGATTGGTCCATACCATAAAGGTACCATACCTTCAAGGTACCATAAAAATTGTCTAATTTTAAACTGAAATTTTATACGAATGTTTTACATTTCACAAGAAACGTGTTCACAAAATTTCATCCGACAATTCGACACAAAATGCTCTCAAATGAGTTTGGCAGGACGGTGGTTCCTGCGCACTAACCAGATTATTCATCAATCTTCATTAATGAAGATCTAAGATTTCACAAATTGATGACAATTGATTCAGTACTTCCATATATCAACAAGAATACAAGATATTATATCAGACAGTCGGGTACGGCGTGGATGGATCACAATTAATCGAAAACGAAATCCAAGCGTACAGTACCTTTTTGGAACTCGAAAGCGGCGAGGGAGAGAAGATGACGTGAAATAGACTCAATCAATTGTTTCACGGATCACTGCTGTTCTCTCCGGTCTTTGAATGGGGCGTTGGAGTTTTGCATGGAGAAGAAACCGGAGCCATTAAAAGTAGGGTCATAAATCACAATGGATTTACCAAGTCTTATACTCTTATGATCTGGGTGTATTTATTTACGCAATCATTTTTGTTATAGTCACCTTTATATCCATCATATTTGTAAATGTTTTTTACTGAAAATTTGGTTCACAGACAAAATGTCTTATTTTATCAGTGCACAATTTGCACAAACATATTTTGTCTGTGAACGGGATTCACAGACAAAAAAAGTCTTGAACAAACATGCACTACAAACAAAAATATGGGATTGACAGAGATTTTAGCAGGAGTTTTGGCAGAGATATGCCAAAATCGTGTCAAAAACACTCTGGCACGAGCTATTTGGCACGAAAAATCGGTAAGTCCGTGCCAAATTCCGTGTCAATCCCGTAATTTTTTTATAGTGATGGTGGGTATAAAAGTGAACATAAGGATGGTTACAAACATAATTTTTTATTATTTAGAAAGACAATAAAAGTATTGGTTGTCTCTTCTCTAGCTTGACCTCTTCTAGGTGAAAGTAGCCATTTGGTTTCCTTGTCACATGCACTTCGCTTTTTTTTGGCCCTAAGCCATGGCCCAAAAAGCCTAACTTTACCTTCCACATTTCACTTTCACAAAATGGGCAATATTTGTCACAAAATGGGCAATATTTGTCATCGCTGGGCAATATTTTTCAGCATGTCCAATAATTCCACACATAAAAGAAAAACTAGGGAAATTCTAATAGTGAAAACTAACTTAGAAATTAATACTCCGTACATTCTTCCTTTTGTTATTTGAATATGAGTGTTTTTCTAAAACATTACTAGCAAAAAATATGATTTAGTCACTCTAAGTGACTACAATTGCGCACAAAATTTATATCGCAGTAACTAAACGTATCTTTTGTAGTCACTATAATGTAAACCTTTTACACAAATATAGTTTTTAAAAGCTGCTAGATTACATGCTTGTTCACTATTTTTAATTTGATCATATAATAGGAATAATTTCTTGTTATATGTCCAAATAGAGACATTATTCAAAGTTATTTCCAAATTGCATACTATATTCATTGAGGCTAATAATTTAGGAGAGATAGTTGTTACTCCCTCCGTTTTCTAAAGAAAGTCGCGGTTTGACTTCACGATTATTAAGGAAATAAATTAACTTTACTGTAGAAAACACTGTTTAGACACTGTTTGGACATTGTTTGACACTGTTTGACACTGTTTGGATGTAGATTTCTTTGCCAAATAAGGAAATAAGGGAAGTGTGACTTTGTTTTTTAAACATCTTATAAAGAAAAGTGTGAGTTTCTTTTAGAAACGGAGAAAGTATTATATAAAAATATTTCTTCTATACAATCTAGCGAACCAAATTACAAGTATATATATTTGGACTGAAAAATATTAAACTGACTCTTAGTTTGTGCTTTCCGGATTCCATAAAGTGCTATAGCCTATATGGACTAACCAGCTAAGTATGGTAGAAATTAATTTTGTTAACTCCCTTGAAGTGTACAACTCACTTCCCAACCTATTGGACTGATATATAACAGTTCTTGCAAATGTTATAACTTTTTCATTTATTGTCCAACTTTTTTAAGAATTATATTAGTTTTCTTAATTTTTCATGATTTTTATATGATTTCTAGTATTACATATATATAATTAAAAACGGCTAAAATAGGTATCTGCAAAAAAAATCAATTTTTTAAAATGCAATATTGATACCAATGGAGTATAAATTACTATATCTGATGTTTGTTTTGTAAAAATTGGAGTATTAATCATAATGTTATAATAATATTAAGAAAAAAAGAACTGATATGTCAAATGAGGAGCATAAAAGGTAGGGAGTTATATTCGCCCTCCTTGAAGGGGTTAACAAAACATCAGCTCCCGGTCTTATCACTAGCCTAGGATCTATTCTATAAAAAGGAAATTGATCAAATTAAGACTAAAACACATTGTTTTCCCAAAAATTGGACCATATGTTTGGTTTATCTTAAATAGGGCAAATAGTTCCATTTCAAACCCTAATTAATCACTTAATTAAATAATCTAATTAATTGTCATCCAGTTTCCTTGCATAACCAAGGGTAGTCGGTTGGTGGCGGTGCAGTCCGACAGCGGCGGCGGTAGATATCGGTGGTTGCATCAGCGGAATTTTTGCAGACTGGGGAGGAAATTTAGGGGCAAATTTCCAGCAGCTATTTGCCAGCGGCAGACCGGCGTCATGGGGGCAGCAGTGTTCCAGCCCTATGAGGGTAATTTGGTTCAATCACAAATAAAAAATCCTATTAATGATCGAATTTTAAATTAGCAAGTCCTATTTTTGAAAAAAAAAAACCTACTACCTCTATCCTTCTTGAGACATGAGGAGGTGGTGCGGTTATTAAGAAAAGTAGATTTATGTGGTTGCTATTGAATTATATAATAAAAATGATTTAGAAGCACATAAACTTTATCAAATTTGGTATGAGACAATCTTAGTGAGACGCGAAAGAAAACCTTGGACAATCTTAGCGGTACTAATAGAGTATGTTTTAGTATTATATACTATGTATTTAGGTATATCTTCTTGCTGGACACATGTGTTTTGATACATGATTTATTTAGTAATTTTAATGACCGAAGAAAGCTTAATGATAAAAGGTTGTGGTGTATGTTTATAAGTAGAAGTGATGTAAAAAGTCAAGGTAATAAGAGCATTTGGGAAAAAGTAACTTTGGGTGTATTATTTGGGGGTCGGGAAATATTACAAAAAATCAACTAACGCATAAATCCCTACTTACAAACTCCATTTTTTACTTTTTAAAGCAAAAGTCATTACAACACCAAAATGCTTTCAAAAAGCAATGTAAATTATAATAATGTATTATTTAGGAATTACTTGATTTGAATAATTCTATTTTATTATAAATATGATGGTAAGACATTGGGTAAGCCATTATTTCCCAAAATTATTATTTTGTATATGGTATGAGTCGTTTAGGGTTTTCGATCTCAATCTCTCCAAATGGCCGACACCACCACGTCTACAACCACTGCGGTCACGGCGCCTGATCACCAGGTGCAGCCGTCGCCTATCTCCATGTACCATGTCTTCAGCTTCTACAGCGCTAACCAGCCCTTCCCAATCGGCGTCTGGTTTAAGCAGTAACGTCTCTCGTTCTCTGCCGCTTTCATCGTCGATGGTGCCGCCTCCGATAAGTGTTGCGCAGATCCGTTCTCCGCTTGCAGCCTCTCTGTTGCAGTGTATCAGTGCCATTCCGCCGCTTGACTCCTACCAGATATTCAACATGCTCGATCCCTTCTCTTGGACGCCTACAACAGTCACAGTCCCTCCGCCTATTCCCACAGTTCTTCCGGACATTGGTTGGCCCTCGACTGAGTTTTCCGATCCGACTTTCTCCGGCCAACTAGGAGTTGCTCCTCTGCCGCAGGTTCAACCGTCTCCTATGCCAGGTTTTTCGAATGCTCCAAGTTTTTTATCCTCTCTGGCATCCCAACTAGCCTTTTCTACACCTGATGTGAATTATATTGTTACTACTCGGTTATTGATGATTTTTCTAGATATACATAGATTTATCCTATGCGTAGAAAATCTGAGATTTTTACTCATTTTTCTAATTTTCAAAAATTAGTTGAAAATCTTTTAAATCTGAAAACTAAAATTTTCTAGAATGATGGTGGCGGAGAATTTGACAATTCCATTTTTCGTCAGCATTTTTTGAACTCTGGAATTTTATTTCGAAAGTTTTGTCGAGACACTCCTCAAAATGGTGTATCTGAACGAAAACATAAACAACTCCTATATTTAACTAGGACTATGTTGATTGATTCTTTTATTCCTGGTCACTTCTACGTAGATGCTCTTTATACTGCCACATATATTGTTAATCGTTTACGTACAACTATTTTGCTGGACTAACACCTTCCGAGAAGATTTTTAATAAAGCTCCGGATTATAATTTTTTGTATGTGTTTGATTGTTCATGTTTTCCCAATTTTATTGCGGCATCTCACAATAAACTCTCACCACGCTCTACACATTGTGTTTTTATTGGCTATGCATTGGGCTATAAAGGTTATCATTGTGTTTCCCCCTCTACCGGTCATGTCTATGTTAGTAGGGGCGTTACCTTTCACGAAAATATTTTTCCCTATCCCTACTTTGGTCCCACAATCCACCTCCCCGACCTCTAGTCGTTCTCCATCCTAGTTGTCTTCCTCGGTTCATCCTAGGTGTTTATTACCCTCACTACTCGAGACAGGCTAATACCCATCAAGTCCTAATTTCCCCTCGTTCCAGCCCACTGGCCAGACGCCCTCTCTCGCGCTCACTCCACCCCAATCCCCACCTACAACCTCATCACCTGTGTCTCCCACCACCCCTATTTCTCCCGTTGTACCAGTAGGCTCTTTACCAAGGCCAGTCGTCGACGGCTTGCACTCACCGCCGTCGGATTCTTCCTCGGACTGCATGGCTGACATACCAGCATCCCAACGTGCTCCCCTTAATATTCATCCTAGGCGCACTCGTGCCAAAGATGGCATTTTTAAACCAAAATCCATTTTTAATTTAAGTGTGTTTTCTCCCTCGAATGATCCAAATTGTTTCACACATGCTAATAAGAGTGGTATTTTGTGGGCAACAATAACTGATGAATTTAATGACTTAATTGCTAACGGAACTTGGGATTTGGTACCTTGGGATCATACCAAAAATGTAGTTGGTTGTAAGTGGATTTATAAGACAAAACATTTTTCTAATGGATCTGTTGAGCGTCATAAAGCTCGGTTACTTGCTCAGGGGTTTAAACAGCAGACTGGTATTGACTAAACTGAAAGATTTAGTTGTGTTGTTAAACCTACCACTGTCCGTCTTATTTTGTCTGTTGTCATTTCTTTGGACTGGCTTGTTCGTCAACTTGGTGTCAAAATGCTTTCTTACATGGCTACTTAACTGAGGAAGTGTATATGCATCAGCCTCAGGGCTTTGTACATTCCTCTTTTCTTAATCCTGTTGTCGCCTTCGTAAGGCACTTTATGGTTGTAACACCCCCATTTTTCCCGCCCAAAATAATACTTGAAATAATAATATATTGA